CCCCCCCCCCCCCCCCGAAAGTTCAGGTCAGACTTCTTGTAGGAAATACATATAAAACCAAGTTGTCAAGAAAGCATTTTCTTTTAGTCAGGGCACTTGCTTCAAACAGTGGATTGATAGAGACATTGTAAAGCTTTCAAATGTGGCAACAGCCATGACCAGACATATCCAAATTAAGCAAGTTTTTTTCAGATTCTCTGGGTCTTGTGTATGTCAGGTTTCCTAACCATATGCTTACTTTTCTTTGGTGAGAAAACAAATCAGAGAGGCTCAATTCCCAGCTCCTGTGATTCAGATTCAAGTTGATGCCTACTATTCTTTCATGTGGCATAAATCATCCATCTTTTTAGAGCATTGTTTATGGAAGAAAAAGGTTGCCTCTAGTGAAATGACCATGACTTATTCTATCCTCTTCCCTCTCTTAAATTTCATCTTCTTTCTTGCTTCCATATTTTTGCATCAACTTTTATGAAGTCAGATTTCTTAAAAAATGAATCTTAAACTGATGGGGTAGAGAGTTAAGTCCCTTACTTTAATATAATTCTCTCTTACACTTTTGTCTCATGCAAGTGTGCCTCCCTATGTGTAAGTAAATAAATATTTTGTTTGAAGGACCTAAAATGTTTCGGGAGTAATTAAGGAAAAACAAAGGCACTTTAAAAAAGCATCAGACACCAAGTTGGTAGTATCAGCCTGCCTAATTGCTCAGTTCCTTTTTAATTACTGTGGAATTATCAGTGGATGATCCTATGTTAACAGATTCTGTTTAGGGTGTGTGCGCCAGTGACGTCCTTTGATGTGGGAAATGTTGCTGCTGTGTCTGGTCTCGAGAGTTCCAGTGGCTTGCCCCACAGTTAGACTGTCTTCTCAGGAAGGCACAGCTTCCTTCCTCAACCATCAAGGGAGGCAAGCTGCAGTGGGTGGGAACCATGACGTCACTGGGGAGCTCATGGAGTGTTGTCAAAATTGGGGTGAGAACAGAAATGGAGATGGGCTCATGTCAGTCAAGACATTTATCCTTTTCATTGATCTACATCTTCATATGCATATATGATGCATATGTTCATAGGCATCTCCTTCTTGTTGACCTTCATCATCATACGGGCACAGCCTTTATTATATCCTTTATGACATGCCGACATGATGATGAAGGTCAGTACAAACAACAGTATCTCAACATGCTGTTATTCACAAGTTACGTATAATTGAAAAATCAGCAATTGTCCATATTAAAAAAGAAATTAAGAGAGGAGTAGAGTTTGCCAGGGACTGATACAGATTAAGCGGAGCCTGATGTCCCCTAGACAGCTCAAGGTACTAGTCAAGTTAGGACATTCGAGGATACTGAGAGAGATACTCCTTGGGAAAACCTGAGCATAGACTCATTTGGCTCGTTTTCCTAATCTTGAGCTTTGTGGGTGGTATAATTAGTTAACATTCTGGTTGTTAACTGAAAGACTGGCTATACAAGTCCACTCAGAGGCACCTTGGAAGAAACACCTGGAAATCTACCATCAAAACCATCCATTGAAGACTCAGTGGAACGTAGGTCTACTCTAACACACTTGGGGTCACCAATGACAGCTGGTACTGGATGATCAGATAGTGTGTGCCTTATAAGTAACAATGTAACAGGATATGCATGGCTGATTAATTGAAAAATAAAATCCAAAGAAAAATTTCTACACAGATAGAAACAATTGGGGAGGATTGACAGGCCTGGGAGGGAAGGGAGTAGAGAGCAGAGATTACCGATGGGTGGGTAGAGTTAAGGGAAAGGCAAGGTACAATGAGAATCTGATGTAATAAATGACATTGATTTGATTTAAATGAATGTTGCAAAACAAAATATATATGAATGATTGAATGAAAAGCAATTAAAAGTTTTTATTATCTTCTAAGTGAGATTTGTAGCACAGATTGTGTCACTGGAATTTTCTATTTATGTGAATAGAAACAAGTCCACAGTCTTGGGGCTTTCAAGACCCTGGGAAGCAACTGGGGTTGGCAACTACACCCAAGTGAATAGTAGATTATTTCCAAGCAGCTGGAAAGACCAAAGCTTTGCTGAGAAATGCTTCCTAAATTGCTACTCATTGGGTAGACTTAGTAGAAGTCATGCTAGTATTCGCCTTTGTAACTGCAAGCCTATGTGGTTTTTCTAGGAACTCTATGACTCCGCTTCCCAGGAGGTAACTGGGCCGCTGGCTTCTGCCCACCAGTGGGTGAATATGACAGATGTCACCGTCTCGCTCAATGCCACACACACAGTAAGTGACACAGAGTCACACCGTTTCTTTTTACACCGGAGTTAAAGCTCTGGGCTGGTCTTGCCTACTTAGCCTGATCGTGGCTACTCGTGGCTTAACTTCTAATTCCTTTTCTGTTTTCTTTTCAAAACCCTTCATTTTAGGCAAAAACCTGTAAAGCAGCCTTGGGCTACAGCTTTGCAGCTGGCACCATTGATGGAGCAGGCAGCCTCAATTTTACACAGGGTGAGTAAAGCGAGATGAAGTCTGTGTGTTCAGGTACCAAGGGGCCAAGGTTCTGGTCCCAGCTAAGTTTTGGGTATAGTGAAAACATTTGTGACTTCTGCTGTTGAACTCAAGGCTGTGAAGCTTTTGAAGATTTGGCCATGAGAGCCCAGATTTTCCCACATAGCTAGAGTTCACAGGGTGTGGCACTGCCTACCATCTCAAAGGCCTCAGAAACCTGATTGACAGTCTGCCAAGGGTTCTGACTTGATGGACATGAGTTTGAGAAGCATTTTTGTAACTTGGTTTCCCATTAATTCAAATACAATAAGAGACAAATTCTTTTTGCATTTCAATCTACATACAGTGAATTTTAAATGGGGCTGTGGCTGGAGTTGGGTTAAGGGGGTAGGGAGGGGTCTCATTTTGCCTCCAGCGCAAGGAAGATCAACCTTTTGGTTATTCGTGTTCATTGTCCTGATTCCTTTCATGGCAACAAGTTTTCTCAGGCAGAGGCTCTTAGGAGCCTGAAGCATGTGGTCCCAGGCTCTCTTCTTGTATAGATTTCCATAAATTCATCACTGAAATGCCCGATTACTTTAGCTTTTTATTCTTTTATCTTGATTATCATTCAAATAATATGCATTGTAAAGTCGAAGTTGAAAAGGTTATCACCTATGGGAATATTTTGTATTCTGTTCTTCTCTCTAAGATTCTATTGGGAGCCATTAAATGGAAGAGATTAAGAAATACAGTAGCAGTTTGATTTACTTGGCATTATAATTTCTAGTAATTTTCCATTCAGTTTGGACGAATGCTTTAAAAGAATCCTTTTTTTAAAACAAAACACAAACCTGCTTTGTTGTGCAGCTAGGGAGATGTGCTTCTCACCCAGAGACTGTACCTCTCTGGCAGTTTGAATCCACCATGGCTCGTCAGGAAAAGTTGAGTCATTTCTTTTCTGTTTATATTTTTTTATATCAGTACCTACAGCCTCGGAAACTCAGTGGAGGATCAGCTCTAAGTTGGTTCTGACTAAATGATTCTAAGTACAGTACCAGACAATTTGCTCATTTAAAGTTTACAAAACAATAGTTTTTCGTATATTTAAAGATGTGTGGAACCATCACAACAGTAATTTCAACTTTCTCAATACCTCAAAAAGAAACCTCATACCTTCGCATTACCTATCCTTCTGTAAGGCCCCCTTACCCTCAGCAAGCACTAATCTCCTTTCTGTGTCTACAGGCTTCCCTATTTATTTTTTTTAAAAGGTAAAAAAGCAAAGATAGATTTACTAGATAGTTACATTTCTAAAGGGATGGATCTCCTTCCTTGCAATGAAATATGGAGGAGAGGCCACGTGCTAGTTTAATGAGGTTATATTTATGGCTTCCTTCTCAGGGTGGGCAGCAGGCTGTAGTCTGCGCCAATGAGATGATGCCCAAGAGAATTCAAAGTTTAGTGACTCTTTCTTATTCTGGTCCCTGTTCTCAGATGTCATTCATGCACGTGAAGTGTCCACTGCCTCTGACATCACTCATGAATTCAAAGCTCTAATTCTAAGTTAGTATCTGCTTCCTGCCTCTATTGTATCTTTTTCCTCCCCTGTATTATTGGTTCTAATTCTCACTAAGGTGACCAAGGACCAGGTAGTGTTACGTTCTGTACTACATAAAGTCACCATGAGTTGGAGACAACTGAAAGTGAAATTGGCATTGGTATCATTTGGTATCATCTTGTTGACTCCAATTCAAAATGTTATTTCTGACCTTTCATGAGTGTAGCCATGAAATAATGCCCTTTTGCAACTGGCTTATGTGACTTAGCACATTGTTGGCAAACCAAACTCATCACACATACGTTGGGCATGTTATCAGGGGCGTCAGTCCAGGCACAAGAGCAGCATGCTTGGAAAGTAGAGTGAGCAGAAAAGAGGAAGCCCTTCAACAGGGTTGATTGGCTCAGTGACTGCAGCTATGGGCTTAACAGCTAGTAAACTGGGGAGGCATGAGATGTGGCAGAGGTTCGTTCTTTTGTTATTATGATCACTATAAATCAAAACCCATTTGACAGCACCTAAAAAAAAGATCAAAGTTTTCAATCTTCATACATGTTGTAACAAGCTTCAATACTTAATTCCTTTGAATACATTGTATTCCATTGCATAAGTATACGTTAGGTTGTTTATCTCTTCCTTTATTGATGGGTATTTGAATTGTTTCTACTTTTTTATTATCCTGGAGAACACTGCTCTAAATACCCATGTATCCAATATATATTCATCCAAGTTTTGCATGAATATATATTTTCTTTTCTCTTGTATACACACCAATAAATGGAATTTCTGTGTTATGATCTTGTTTTTGTTGTTGAGTTGATTGAAACTTAGGACACACCCATGTATAATTTGGTGACTTTGCATTAAGTTGTTTGAGAAACTGTTGGACTGTCTTCCAAAGTGATTGCACCATTTACTATTCACATCAGGCGTATGTGTATGAGGATTTTGAGTTCTAGACAGCTTTGTCCAGATTTGTTATTATCTAACTTTTAAAATTATTACTGTAGTATAATCATCTTTATGGGCGTGCGAAGTCCTTGCATAGTGTAAATAATTAAGTGCTTAGGTGCTAACTAAAAGGTTGTCGTTTGAGTCTTTCTGGGAACACCTAAGAAGAAAGGCTGGTAGACCAACTTCTGACAAACCAGTCATGGGAATGTTATGGAACACAGCACTACTGACATATATATGAGTTGTAGTGGGTTGGACTTAACTTAATGGCACCTGTTGTTTGTTGTTGTTGTTATGTGATGTCGAGTCATTTATGACTCATAGCGACCCTATGTACAACAGCCCTAAAACCTGATCTAACCTGTGCCAATCGCACTGCCTCTGACACACCCATCCAGATTACCACAGTCACTGAATCAATCTAGTTTACAACTAATGGATGTGAAGTGGTCTTCATTGTGGTTTTGATTTTCATTTACAACTAGTGATGTTGAACATCTTTTTATGTGCTTATTAACCATTTGTATATCTTCTATAGAGGAATATCCATTAGAATTCTTTGACCATTTTAAAATCAGGAGTAGTTTTATTATTATTATTATTGAGGAGTTCTGGTGACCTAGTGGCTAGGGATTGTACTAAGTTGTTGTCAATTATGTGATGTGCAAATAGTTTCTTGAATTCTACAGGAGAAACTTCTGAAACACAACAGATTTTAAGCTGAATATATTCAAAATTATCTGATTTTCTTTCATTTGTGGACTTTATTGTGTCATATCTTAAAAATGTCTAACCAAAGTTGAGGTCATGAAAATTTTCCTCCTCATAATTTTCTCCTAATAATTTTATAGTTTTCCGTTCTTGTATTTAAGGTTTGATCTATTTGGGTTATTTTTTATTTAAGGTAAAATAAGTGTCAAACTCCATTCTTTTGCTTGTAGCTACTGAGTTATTCCAGGAGCACTTATTGAAAAGATTATTCTTTCCCAATTAAATTGTCTTCAGGCCCTTGTAAAAAATCAATAGAACATGTTGTTGTTGTTAAGTGCCATCGAGTCGCTTGCGACTCATAGCGACCCTATGTACAAGAGTTCTAAAATCCATTCTATACTGTGCCAACCTAGCCATCTCAAACGCACTCATTCCCACCACTCCAGTGAGAGATATGATTCATCTTATTGAAGGTCTTCCTCTCCTGCGCCGCCCATCCACTCTGCCAAACATGATGTCCCTCTCCAAGGAACAGTCCCTCCTTGCAACATGCCCAAAGTATGTCAGACGAAGCTTCAGAATCCTTGACCCCAAGGAGCATTCCGGCTTCACCGTCTCCAGGACAAATCTGTTTGTTCTCCTAGCAGCCCATGATATATTCACCACTCTTCTCTAGCACCACATCTCAAAGGCATCAATTCTCTTTCTATCATCCCTATTGACTGTCCAACCCTCTGACACATAGCACATAACTGCGAAGACTATAGTCCGGATCAGGCGCACCTTAGTCTCCAGCCTGATGTCGTTGCTCTTCAGTGGTCTTGAGAGGTCCCTCACAGCTGACTTTCCCAGTGTAATTTGTCTCTTGATTCCCTGGCTGCTGTTACCAAGAGTGTTGACTGTGGAGCCAAGTAAACTAAAACTGTTAACTATCTCAATCTCTTCACCATCCATACGGATGCTTCCAATTGGCCCAGTGGTGGGTATCTTTGTTTTCTTGATGTTGAGCTTCAATCTGTATCGAAGGCTGCAGTTTCTGACCTTCTGTAGCAAGTGCTTCAGGTCCTCCTCAGTTTCAGCAAGCAAGGTTGTGCCATCGCATAATGCAGGTTGTTGATGACTCTTCCACCAATCCTGATGTCACATTCTTCCTCCTATAGCCCAGGGTCTCGGATGACCTGTTCTGCATACAGATTGAAAAGGTATAGAGACAGAATACATCCCTGATGGACCCCCTTCTTGATTTTGAACCATGTGGTGTCTCCTTGCTCTGTTCTAATGACCGCCTCTTGGTCCAAGTATAGGTTTCACATTAGCACAATCAAATGTTCTGGGATTCCCATTCTTTTCAGAGTCAGCCACAGCTTGTTGTGATCCACACAGTCAAAAGCCTTTGCTTAGTCAATGAAGCACAGATAGACATCCTTCTCGTATTTTTTACTTTCTGCCAAGATCCATCTAACATTAGCTATAATATCCCTATTACCACGACCTCTTCTAAATCCAGCCTGCACATCTGGCAGTTCTCTGTTGACATATTGCTCCAAACGTTTTTGGATAATTTTCAGCAGAATCTTGCTTGCAGGTGATATTAATGATATAGTTCAATAATCCCCGCACTCTGTTGGGTCACCTTTCTTTGGAATGGGAACAAATATCAATCTTTTCCAGTCAGTTGGCCAGCTGGCTGTCCTCCAGATTTCTTGGCACAACTTAGTGAATGTATCCAGGACAGTGTCTGTTTGTTGAAATATGTCAATTGGTGTGCCATCAACTCATGGAACTTTGTCTTGTGCCAATTCCTTCAGAGCAATTTGAACTTCCTCCCTCATCACCATAGGCTCTTGCTCATAGGTTATTTCATTAAATTCTTCTGTGTCATCCAATTCCTTCTAACACAGTGACTCTGTGCACTCCTTCCATCTTCTCTTGATACTTCCTGGATCATTTAACATTCTACCCAAAGTGTCCTTTTTTTTAAAAATTTTTTAAAATAATTTTAATGAGCGTTTACAGAGATTTTGGATTTCCATTCATTCATTGCTGCACTTCTCTCCCCCCCAAGCCTTCCCCCTCCCCAAGTTCACTCCTCTCTTTCAAAAGTAAAAGAAACACTCCTTCCCTGGTACACAATCCCCCCACACCCCTCCCACCGCCCCAAGTACATTCCACTATGCAACCTTAATTGTGGACTCTTGTGATAACCATAATACCCTATCATACATCCCTTTTAAATTATTCAGTCCCTCATCTGTTTCAGTGCAGTATACACAATTTATCCAGTTTTTCTCAGTCTTACCCCAACCCTGATATCAATCCCATTTTACAACAGTGGCACCATGCAATATTTGTCCTTTTGCGACTGAGATATTTCACTCAGCATAATGTCCTCCAGGCTCACCCATTTTGAATAATATTGCATGAGTTCCTTGTTTTTCAATGCAGCGTAGTATTGCATTGTGTGAATATACCACAGCTTCTCTATCCAGTCGTTTGTTGATGGGCACCTGAGTTGTTTCCAACTCCTTGTTATTGTGAACAAAGCCACGATAAACATGGGTGTGCACATATCTGCTTGGGTGTCAGTTATGGTCTCTTTGGGATATATTCTTAGTAGTGAAATTGTTGGGTCAAATGGTATCTCTATTTGCAACTTTTTGAGAAAGCCCTATACCACCTTCCATAGTGGTTGCACCATTTTACATTCCCACCAACAGTGAATAAAGGTTCCAGTTTCTCCACAACCTTGCCAGCATTTGTTGCTTGCTGTTCTGTTAAATTTTGCTATTCTGACTGGGGTGAGATGATATCTCATAGTTGTTTTGATCAAAGTGTCCTTAAGTATTGCCACCTGTGGCTTGAATTTGTTTTTCCGTTCCTTCAGCTTAAGAAACGCTGAGTTAGTTCAGCCTTTTTGCTTTTCTGACTCCATCTCTCTGCACATTTCATTATAGTATCTTGCTTTGTTGTCCCGAGCTGCCTTTTGAAATTTTCTGCTCAGCTCTTTAATTTCTTGGTTTCTCCCTTTAGCTTTGGCTTCTCTGCGCTCTAATGCAAATACTCAGAGTCTCATCTGACATCCATCTTGGTCTTTTCTTCTTTTTCAGTTTTTGTAATAATCTTTTGCATTCAGTACTCTCAATTCTGTGCCATTGATCTATTTGTGTATTCTTATGCCAGTGCTGTGATGTCCTGATTAGCTTTGTGGGAAGTTTTGAACTCTGCAGGTGAGAGTATTCCCTTTTCAAGATTGTTTTGGCTCTTTACAGTTCCAGGTGATTTTAGAATCAGCTTGTCAGTTTCTACCAAAAAAGTCCATAGGGATTCTGATAATGATTGAACAATGAAAGAATATTAGTTCTTCTGATTCATGGACCAGGGAGGGTTCTATTTTTTGTTTTGTTTTTCATTATTGTAGAAAAAATGAAAGCGCTCCCTCCTCTTTAGGGAGCTCTTATGGCCTCGTGGTAAGAAGCTGCACTGCAGTCACAAAGGCATGTGGTTCGAATCCACCCACTGCTTTTAGGAGAAGAATGGACAATCTCCTCCTATGTTATTACCTACCTCTGAAAACCTGCTTGAGGATCAACTATGGGTTGGTTTCAACTCCATGGCACACAACAACAGATCCTCTTAAATTTTGTTTTTTAATTTTCATAGCACCCACTTCCTAAACTACATGCCTCTGGAAACTCTATGATAAATGTTGATAGTTATAGAAAGTCTTCAGGCCTTTTGTTCATACGGTCACTATGAGTCATGCTCGACTTGAAGGCAATTAACAACAACAACAACAATTTTCTTAGTGTAAGTTTTGTGCCTTTTTGTTGCACTTGTTTTCAGGTTTTGTTGCTATTTTAAATGGGATTGTTTATCTAAATTTAAGATTGTACATTTTGAGTATGTAAAAAGACAGTTGATTTTTGTGTATTGATATTGTATTCTGGCATCTTACTGGACTTGTTTATTAGGATTTTCTCTGTAAAATCATTTCATATATAACTATAGTTTTACTTATTTCTTTCCAATCTTGATGTCTTTTCTTGCTTTCCCATATTTGAATAGTTAGAAACTCTATTTGAAGAGCAAACATCATTGTCTTATTTCCACTATTAGGGGAAATGCATTCAAATTTTCCTCACAAAGTGTAATGTTCCACTATCTTCCCCCCAGTTGAAATTGAGTCAATTTTAACTCGTGGTGACTCAATGTTTCAGTAAAACTGTGCTCCGTATGAGTAACTGATCTTTTGGAAGTAGATTACCAGGCTTTTCTTTCGAGGTACCGCTGGGTGGACATGAATCTCCAACATTTCATTCAGTAGCCAAGTGTGTCACATAGCCACAGTAAATGATTGTAGATTATAGTTATTTGCAACATAACTGAGTAAAATCTATAGAAATACAAGTTTAGAAGTATAGAAATAAATATACTGTTTTCATTTATTGGCCATAAGGAAGACCTCATTTATTAAATATTCTTATTTTAGAATGTATCTCCTTAAAGAGTAACATAGCATGTTGTCAGGAAGTGCTATTGTTGTTGTTATGTGCTGTCAAGTTGCCTGTGACCCATAGCAATACTTTGTACAGCAGCTCTGAACCCTACCCTGTCCTGAGCCAGTCTCACTAATTCCAATATACCAACCTCCATTGTCCCAGTTACTGTATCATCCATCTCATCCGGGGTCTTCCTCTCCTGCGCTGTTGCCCCACCCTTCTGAGTATAATGTCCTTTTCCAAGGACTGGTTTCTCTTGGTCACAAAGTATGTGAAACAGAGCTTCAGAACTCTGACCTCCAAGGAGAAACTTGATTTAGCCCTCTCCAAGGCAGACCCATTTGTTTTCTTGGTGGCCATAGTATGTTTGAGACTCTTCTTTTCACCACAATTAAAACACATTGATTCTTCTTTGGTCATCCTTAATCATTGCCCAGATCTCTGATGCATAGCAAGTAATTGAGAAGACCATGGCCTGGATCAGATGCACCTTAGTTCCAAGACTGACATCGTTGCTTTTCGGTACTCTGGAAAGGTCCCTGACAGTAGATTTTCCCAATGCAATTAATCTTTTGATTTCCTAACTGTTGGTGTTAACAGTGTTGATTGTAGAGCCAACCAAGCTGTAATTGTTAACAACCTGAATCTCTTCCCCATCTATCATGGTGCTGTCAGATGGCTCAATGGTGAGAATATTTGTCTTCTTGATATTGAGCATCAATCCATATTGAACACTACAGTCCTTGTCCCTTTGCAGCAAGTGCTTCAGGTCCACCTCAGTTTCAGCAAACAAGGTTGTATCATCTGCATAATGTAGATTGTTGGTGAGTCTTCTTCCAATCCTGATGCCACATTTCTCCTTAGAGAGCTCAGCCTCCCAGATGATCTGTAGTCTCTGGAAAAAGACATCATGCAGAGGAAAGTGGAGGGTTAACAGCAAAGAAGAGCCTCAAAAGGACATCGTTATTACTGTAATGAACAGGCAAGTCAGACTCATAGTTAGACTCATTGTTAACCTGTCCGTGGGTTTTCAGAGGCAGTAAATCACATGAGGAGAGATTTCTTTTCTTTCTTCCATTGAGCAGCTGGCAGATTTGAACCATGTGCCTTTGGGATCACAGTATAGCTCCTTACCACCAGAGCTCCCTTCAGGGAGGTGAAGTAACATGATGCTAACAAAGAACTCAAGCAAAATGAGGATGGTGCACCATAGGACAAGATTTCGATCCATTGTACATAGATAGGGTCATTATGAGTCTTAGGTGATTTGATGGCACCTAACGTCGAGAGTGATCAGTTGGCCTAGTGGACAGAAGGTGATGCCACCAAGCCAAAGGTGGGTGGCTTTTAATCTGCAGCCCTCAGGCCTGTTTTTCATTGTTTTTGTTCAAACATTCTTCTAGGTCGTGTAGTCCTGGTCTGTCCACTTGCCGTACAGAGGTAACTTGTGGTTGCTGTGAAACTGAACACTGTGACACTGATGTGTCAAATGTGTTAATGGTTGGTTACCCATGGTAGACAGTGTTTAGTGGAGCTTCTCGATTAAGTTCGGAAGCAGGAGTGGCATCCACTTCCATAATAGCTTTCCTCCCGAAACCCTGTGAACCTGGAGGAAGGATGAAAGTCACACATGTGTTGAGGACGTTTGTTCTTAGGGTCACTATGAGTCACCTATAACTCAATGGCACTTAACAACAACAACAATGATTCTAGGTTGTGCAGAGTATTTTACCTCTTCCATTATTCAAAATGTTAAAATTAAGTTGATCATCTTAATAATATCTCTGAAACTTTTAAAAGAATAGCTGTGCTATGTTTATGAAAATGATAACTTTTCCCAAGATTGGGTCAAAAAATCATATTAAATGTAGCATTTCTCACAGGCACTACAGAGGGGGACCCATTCTGGGACACTGTTCGGGACCAGCTCCTAGGCAAGCCGTCGGAAGAAATCAAAGAATGTCAAAAACCAAAGCCAATTCTTCTTCACACCGGTGAGGTAATGTATATAAAAATATACTAAAATTAATATACTGTTACTTTTTAATTGGTGAATGGTCAGATATTGAACAGCAAATTTCTAAGTTAGAAAATGTTGTTCAGCTATATTCATGTCAAATTTTTGTGTTCATTTAAAATATGAATGCTATGAGTTTAAATCTAAAGAATAAAGGAAATGATTATTACACACTGCAACTCCCACCCCATAATGAAGAACCATTATATCAGTTGAGAAGAACAAATAAAATTAGCATTTATCTTACTCAGAATTCTTTTACATTGACTCTAGGAAAGGACTTTGTACATAATTTTCTGAAGATGCGGCTATTCCTGCTCATATTAAAAGGAGCATGATCATTCTTAGTTTTCTTACAATTCAGGCAACATTAGTAATTAGAACAGCCTTCTTTTAACACTGCTTTAGAACGTATCTTTTCACATCCTAAATGTTAAAACATTGGACCAGGTTCGTAAAAGCATGCGTTGCCAAGATAGAAAAATTATATTTAAAAGAATCTTTCTAGTATTTTGTTAAAATTCATAGGGAAGAAAGAACTGGAGGGAAACTTTTACACATTTGAATTTGGAAAAATGATAGACTCCTTTGGAGAGATTGGAAAATAAGGCAAGACAAGGGAACTTAAAGCTTAAACTTATATGGAAGGAGAAATCTACCAGTTAACCTATTAGCAGTCATGAAATTTCTGTGAAAGACTTACTTCATTATAGGGAAATTACCATAATATTTACTCTAGGAAGACCTTTGTTACCTGTTACATGGTGTGATTCCACAGTGACAAATTCATTGAAAACCTCATTGATGAGAATATAAATACATGTTAATTGGAATTTGACACTTATGAAGACATACATACTCAGATAACATGGGTAATACTATGAGTTAGAAAGGAAATCTAGAATAAAAAACCAAAAGCAGTTCAAAACACTCTAAGTCATTTAATTAAACAGATTCTGGAACATCTTTCGCACAAAAGTCTATTCTTAACCACTTTTTGTGTTTTGGGTTTTCAGCTGACCATACCTCATCCTTGGCACCCAGATATTGTTGATGTTCAGATTCTCACTCTAGGGTCCTTGGCTATAGCTGCCATACCTGGGGAGTTTACGTAAGTTCTTTTTCTTTATTGGTTAAATATTTTCTTACGTATTTTTCTATTTTAATCACTGTTTATTGGGAGCAGATAACTCTCTGCTAACTCCCTTTCCTCTTGCTGTACTAGGTTTGGCAACAGTAACAATGTATCATTTGAAGGGGAGGTTCTGAGAAAGGATTTGGTTTCAAATATGTTTTGACAATGGACCTCTGGTGGTAGAGTCCATTCAAATTCAGAGTTTATGTGGGGGAAAAAGGGATGATCTCCCTCTGTGCAATTTCCAGTCTCAGATACCTCACGGAGGACTGTCTATGAGTCAGTTTTCAATCGGTAATAATAAAAGGAGGAGGAAGAGGAGATTTAGAAGATAGAGCAGTCAGGAATATAATTCCATTTTACCTTTGCATAGTCACTGAGTTCCTACACGCTTCTCTGTTGTGTAATGAACCAGAGTAACATGTTGGCTTCCACTGTAAGGCTTTCTGTATACTCAGATATATTAATTTAAAATATGTAGATAATTCTGCCTTCTTGACTTAGGACCATGTCTGGACGAAGGCTACGGGAGGCTCTTCAAGCAGTAAGTTAAAAATTAAATTCTACATTTTAATTCCTAAATGTATTATATTATTCCTATTTGAAGGGTGGTGGAAATCACTGTCTTTTTTAATTTAGCACCATTTAAATTTATCCTTTCTAAGATGTTTAGGCAGCATCAAAAGAAGGGAGAAGGAATAGATTGACATTGAACTATTTCAGGAAGTAGCATATGATCAAGAGTCAAAGGTAATGAATGAAGAAGTTCAAGCTGTACTGAAGGCACTGACAAAAACCAGTTTGAATTGATGGGATGTCAAGTGGCATATTTCAACAGATACAGCCGAAGTCATGCTCACTCCTCTGAGTTAAATTTGGAAGATAAATAACCTGACCAACTGACTGAAAGAGATCTATATTAATTCTCATTCCGCAAGAAATTAATCCAACAGAAAGTAGAAATTGGACAATTATCACTAATATCACATGCAAGTAAAACTTTGCTGAAGACCATCCAAAAATGGCTAGAATAGTATACTGACAGAGACTTGCCAAAAATTTAAGTGGGATTTCAAAAAGGCCATTGTGCCAGAGATACTACTGTTGTTATCAGGTCTTTACTGAAAGTGGAAGTTCCTAGAAGGATGTCTATTTGTGTTTTATTGACTATGCAAAGGCATTTGATTGTGAATTACAACAAATTATAGCTAGAGAGAATGAGAATCCCAGAATACATAACTGTGCCCATGTGTAACCTATACCTAGACTCAGAAGTTGTTGTCCAAACAGATCAAGGGAATGGTTTAAAATCAAGAAAGATGTGTATCCCAATGGTGTATCCTTTCTCCATACTTAATCTGTATGTTGAGAAAATCATTCAAGGAGCTGGACTGTAAGAAGAATGCAGCATAAGGATCAGAGGACGACTTATCAGCAACAACTTGCATTATGCAAATGACACAACTGTACTAGCTGAAAGTCAAAAGGACTTGAGTCACTTGCTGCAGAAGACTAAGGACTACACCGTTCAATACTGGCTGCATCTCAATATCAAGAAAATGAAAATCTTCACCATTGAGCCAACAAGCAATATCTTCATAGATGGGAGAAAGATCAAAGTTTTCAACAATTTCATCTTACTTCGATCCATAATCAACATCGTTGGTATCAGCAGTTACAAATCAAAAGAGGTATTGCTTTGAGGATACCTGCTATCAAGGAACTATCCCAAGTGTTAAGGAGAAATAATTCTAGTTTAAATACTAAGGCACCCTTGATTCAAGCCATGGTATTTTTAATGACTTCTTATACCTCTGAGAGTTGGACAGTGAATAAAGATGAGAGGGGAACAATCAATGTTTTTGAGTTGTGTTGCTGGAGAAGTATACTGAACATCTCATGGACTACCAAAAGTAAAACCAAATAGACCGTGGAGAATGTACAACCAGGATGCTTACTCATTAGATGCAAAAATGGTCAAACTTCACCTCACATACTTTGCACATGTTGCTAGGAGGGTCCAGTCCTTGGAAAATGACATCATGGTTGGAAAGGTGGATGACAAAGATCTAGTATTAAAGACAATGTATTAGAATTTTTTAAATAAACTAGTATAAAAAAAGAGAGAGGAATACCCTCGACAAGATAAGCGACACAGTAAATGGTAGAGCAATGGGTTCAAGTATATCAGGGATGCTAAGGATAGTGCAAGGTTCAGAACCATTGTTCATAGTGTTGCTAGAAGCAATAGTTGACTCTAATACACATAACAACAAGATGGTTAAGATATTGTGAGAACAGCACAGGATAGGATAAGGTTTAGTATGGTTGTATATAGGGTTGCAATTAGATGGGTAGCTCCTAACAACAATAACAATAATAATAACAAACAATAACAAGATTCCTAGAAAGAGCACTAGTGGCATGGTGGTTAAGCACTCAACTACCAATTGAAAAGTCAGCAGTTCGAATCTACGAACATACTCCATGGGAAAATAATGTGCTTCCTTAAGAAATGACAGCTTTGAAAAGGCTATGGACAGTTCTACTCTGCCCTACAGTGGCTATGAGTTGGACTCCTTGACAATGAATTTGATTAGTTTTTTGATAATTACATACTTCTTGAAAGTATATGTGACTATGAAACACTGGTCATGTAAAAGCAAATTCAAACCATAAAAACCCCATAAATAGAAATACTTTGGTTGTATTTATTTATCATTTTTAAATAATAATGATTTTATAAGTTAAATCACAAGTAACTTATGAGTACCTTAATACCTTAAATTTATGTTAATTGTTTAAGTAAAATGTATCAAATGTTGGGAATTCTGTGTTTTATTTTCATTTTTCTATTCAGGAAGTATTGTCAAGAATTCTAAAATGACTTAATCAATAGGTATTTTGCTCCTTGGATCTGGAAAGAACTACTCTGTTTAGCTAATGTCACAATAATAATTTTTTTAGGAAATTGAGAATATATTTCTATTTTAGTGGTAGGAAGATTCAACCTCTAGAAATCCAATCACTAGGATATCCATGAGTCCACTGACGTACCTGATTTTATTGCAGTATTAGAGCTGTAACTCTCCACTAAGGAACCTTGTACCCTACATTTATGTCCTTAGGAAGAATTTTGCTGAGAAAGACTTCTTGCACTGATAATTCACACTTATAATTAAGCAGGAAGTATAATGCAAATGATGATATGCTTTAAGGGAAGAATAAATTAATTGGGCTGTGCTTTTCCTCTCTAGGAATTTTCATCGCATGGAATGCACAACATGACTGTTGTTATTTCGGGTCTATGCAATGTTTATACTCATTACATTACCACCTATGAAGAATTCCAGGTAAAGTAAAACCTGCCCATTGAAACAAATGACACCCTGGCCAAGATTACTGTGACAGATACAGACTTTCTTTTTAGACTTCCCCAATCATTTTGGTGAGATGATTTTTGCCTTAGGAGGAATGAAAGTATGATAAGCCAGAGATAATATTTGGAGATTCCATGTTTATTATTTCCAAGATCAGATTAGAATTCTAGTTTCACTGACCTACCTTCCTTGAAACAAATTATTTTGTTATGGGTACAGATAATAAGGTTAATTTGTTGCATGCATTGTTTCTAGCTTTCCATATTTATCTGGTGCCTTAAGTCTCTGAAGAACCTGGGGGGAAAAACCTCCCACTAATAGGTACTAGTAGTGAGTGCACCAGCTAAACATTTTGCACAGATGCTCTTAATAGCTTAGAGTAAAGTATTATTACACACATGGTAACAGATTACAAAGCAGTGTCGAAGAGTTTAGAATAGGCTGTTAACCAGTACTGAATTTTAAAAAATTAATTTCTTTTATAAACATTTCCTGAAAGTTGGTCAGTTTTTTAAACAATAGTGGTAAAAACATGAGAATTAATTAAGAGTCCTACAGCTAATGATCTTTAATATATCTGCTGCTTTTATACCTCAACAAATATCAGTAATACTTGTGGTAGAATTTTTCACACAGCTGTCTGTTGTCTTTATTAAATATCCTGTCTTTTAAGAAAACTTGTTGACTAAAGGTTCATAATTAGAGTAAACACAGGGAATATTTTATAATAGGAGGGGGTCCCCTCCTATTATAAAACTGACCTTTTGTTTCCCTCCCTCTCCCCAATTTAAAATTTGTCAATGAACTTCAGCAGCATTAGAACAACCTTTTATTTTATCACCAATAGGGAACAGAGGCAAACTTGTGTTTTATTGACTATGCAAAGGGATTGGACTGTGTGGATTAGAATATATTATGGGTAATACTGAGATGAATGAGAATTCCAGAACACTTAATTGTGCTCATTGGGAACCTATACATGAATAAAGAAAGAACTGTTTGAACAGAACAAGGAAATATTAAATGGCTTAAAATTAGGAAAAGTAAGAATTTCAGGTATATAATTTCACCATACCTATTCAGTAACTATGTTGAATAAATAATCTGAGACAATAAACTGAATGAAGAAGAATGTGTCATTAGGACTGGAGAAAGAATCATCAACAAATATAATTCTGAGAGGGTTCAAAGGTCTCAACAAAGTACCAGAGGGATTCATGAAAAAAAAAAAAAGTTAGTACACTCTAATAGATTCTCTCTGGAGAGAGATGTCCCTCTCCAAGGAATAGCCTCTCTTCCATTAGGATGGTAGTGTCATAAACACATAGGAAGAGTATGCCTACAGGGAAAACTAATTTAAGAAGCTGGGGTCTGGAGGAGCCAGTCTTTGAAAAGCTGAGGATCAATGGAAAACCCTCAATGAGATGGATTGGCACAGTGAACATAACTGTAAATGCCAGCGTGGCAGAGATTGTGAGGATGGTGCTGGCTAGAACAAGGTTCCGATCTGCTGTTCATAAGATCTGAGGCCTAGTCAACTCAATGGCACCTAAAAGTAAGATATTGTTAGAGATGAGGGTTTGAACTAAAGTAAAATCTGAGTAAACTGGGAGAATTACTGAATGGGAGATATTTTAAGGAGCTAGAATGACAAGACTTAGAGATTTAGAAGATGTAGAATGAGGGAGAAGGAAAAGTCTAACAAGATTTCCAGGTGAGTCTTACCTGAGAAGTAGGTTGGGTAATTAGAAGAATGCTGGGGGGGGGGGAGCTTGTAAATCTATCTAAAATGGGTTCCATTAGCTTTGATGAATTAAGTTCTTGTAGAACAACTGAAGGCTTAGACTTCAGGTGACAGGATAGGTAGTTGGCTTTCATTCATAGCTGTTGTGGGCTATAAATGTCTTCTCCCAGATAGTACAATGAGCACTCAATTTATCCAGGAATCACTAAGATTTTTCCCTTGTTTTTATTTTTTCCTCCTCTTCCCATGTGCTTTGATTCCCATGTGCATTTACATTTTGGGTTCTGATCATAGAAATATGCTTAGGAATTATTACCATCATTCAGATTAAATAAAATGATCATCCAAAAGGTGTAAGCCACAAGAGCCCAGAGCGTTTAACCTGTGGTTGATGGAGCCATTGCATTCGCCTGGTAAGTGGAAATGCCTTACCATCTTTTGTCATCATTAACCTTGAATCGTAGCAAGTTTGAATTACAGCAAATTTTCAAGCATCCTCTGTCACCTAAAAGCTTGACTCCTAGGTTGTGCAGAATCATATCCACGTCTCTTCTGTCTCACCCGTAGATCCAGAGATATGAGGGAGCATCGACTATTTATGGGCCACATACTCTGTCTGCTTATATCCAGCTCTTCAGAGGCCTTGCTAAAGCCATTGCTACGGTAATCAGTGTGTGTGTGTGTGTGTGTGTGTGTTTTCTGTGTGTACACAGGCTCTCATACATGTGTCTGTCATCTCAGGGATGGAGAAGTGAGAAGAAAGCAAAAGAGAAACTTAACTTCCAGTAGTTAGTTACTTTTAAAATGCATTTGTTGATTTTCAATCATAGTAATGGGTATCTCTAAAAGATTAAATCAATAGTGAAATTTCTACTCAATTAACAGTCTTTAATGTTGGCAGTTTTAAAAATATACAGCATTTCTTGTTATCCTCATAAGGAAAATCTGATGACCTAGTTTTGAGGAGATGTGCTGCCTATCCAAATGCATGTGGTGGAATCCACCTGTTGCTCTGAGGGAAAAGGTGAGCACTCTCCTCCTGTGTGATTTATTGCCCCTGAAAACCTGCTGAAGGGTCAGCTGTGAGTCAGGTCCAACTCTGTTGCAGACCAAGGGTAAAGTATTTTTTTAATTATTAATAAGGAGACAGACAACCAGGAATGAGAGAAAACAGAGAACGTCAAAGACAAGGGGCCAGCAGTTTCAAGGATTAAAGGCCCCCTGGATTCCAGCTTCCCTGTGTCTTTATTGAAAATTATCAGGAAGTAAATCACAAAGAGTATTCAATGCAAATGAAGTCAAGCTCTATCCATTGGAAACCTTATCTCAGGAGGGAGGGGTCAGCAATCTGGTAAACCTTTAAAGATTGCCTTAGTGCCCCAGGGTGAACTCCGGCTTGTCAGTGCCTCCCCCACATCCTGAAATAACATTCAGTTTATTATAAATATTTAGTATAAAATTTGGCTTCCCGTACAACCCCACAATGTGTGATGATAAAACATTACCCTCACAGTCATGAGGGATGAGCTACTATTTCACCCTCTATTTTTAGCTGAGCAAATAGGGTCATAGTTCATAAGTAACCAGACTTATTCTAACTGGGAATTGAACCATAGTTCTCTACTTACAAGCCATTCTCTCCATTCACTTCATGAGTTGAGGATGTCATTCGCTGAGCCCATGATACCAGATCCATACATTATAACATCACTGAAGTTGGGGATGCATTTGCAACTTGTGTCTTCTTTGATACTTTTGAAAAATTAAAAAAAAATTAATAGTGCCATGTCATAAAGCCTTATCATGTATTGAGTTCATATTCAAAGTTACATAAAAAGCACAAAACTTCAACCTAAGCAATTGACTTCTAAGCTTGTCTTCTGGTCACTGGCCATATTGGCTATGGAAATGAGACTGTGGCTTATGACTAAAGTTGTCAAGACAAATATTAAAATTGCAGCTCTCTAGACAACACATCTCAGCAAGGTTTCCCTTACATGTGATAAGAATGGGTAGCTTTTGAAATAAGTGTAAGAGTCTGTGTGTGAGTGTGTGTGTGTGTGTGTGTGCATGCACACGTCCCAATGAATGCATATTTGTGACTACAAGCTTGAGAAAGGATCTATGCCTCTGTATAATACTCCCCTTTAAAAAATGTTCTCTATTGTAGGACACGGTAGCCAACCTGAGCAGAGGTCCAGAGCCTCCATTTTTCAAGCAATTGATAGCCCCTCTAATTCCTAATATTGTGGATAGAGCACCAATCGGCAGGCATTTTGGGGAGGTTCTGGAGCAAGCAAAATCAGAATACATAGCGGTAAGAAACACTCATGCGCTCACAAAGCTCGTGGTTTCCTTGAGAATCTTCCTTGGGGGGGGGGGCGGCGGCAGAGTGGGGAGTGTATAGGAACATCATTCAGTATCACCGCCTGCCCAGATGTTACCAATGATAATATCAGTAATTGTTTTTCTCTTTTCAGAGGCTTTGCAAAATTATAATGACACTGATGGGAAATATATATATATATATATATATATATTGTTGTTGTTGTTGTTGTAATGATTTACTACGTAGTTTCTAGATCCAAATTAGTTTTTATCTTCGTGGATCTATTGAATGGAGTTGAGAGAACCTGTCAGTTAAATTAGGAAGTTGTTGTTGTTGTTAGGTGCCATGGAGTGGAGTAGTGATCCTATGAACAAAAGATCTGAACCCTTTTCTATCCTGCTCCATCCTATCACACTTCCTGACACACAAGAGCCCATTGAAGCAGTCACAGTGTCCATCTAAGTGGGTAGATTGACCTTCGCCGACCCTCCACCCTTCCCAGCATCATGTATGTCTCCAAGGAATAACCCCTCCCAGCAACATGCCCAAAGTATGTGAGGCAAAGCCTTATCATTTTTATCTCCAAAGAGCACTCTGGCTGCACTCTCTCCACGACATATCGACATATCATTCGTTCTTTTGGCCATTTATGGGATGTTCAGTGCCCTTCTCCAACACCACAGCTCAAAGGCATCAATTCTTTTTCTGTCATCCTTATTCATGTCCAGCTTTAAATCAACAGTGTTGTTGTTGTTGTTGTGTACCGTAGAGTCATAACCAACCCATAGCTGACCCTTCAGAGGGTTTTCAGAGCTAGTTAATCATGGAGGAGGAGATTGCCTATCCTTCTCCCAGGGAATAGCTGATGGCCTCGAACCACATACCTTGGGTATTGCAGTGGAACTTCTTGTTACAAGGCCACCACAGCTCCTGTATTACTATTACTATTTGCATATTGACCTTGTGTGTGTATGTGTGTGTGTGTTCTTCCAGCTTATGAAATCGTACATTAGTTCTGTTGGGCTTGTATGTGTGGGTTCCTTCTGAATAGCTACATAAAGGTAATGACCTCTGTTTACTTACTTTATTCTGGGTTTATTTTCTAAAAGATAAGGAAACTATATTTAAAGACTCTTTTATGTACATTTGGCATTTCTAATATTAAGTGCCCATATATTTAGCATTTCCAACACTTTTCATTTTATCTTAATAGCTTAAATTACTATTTGGTGGTGTAATGTTGTCTGTAAGCCTAGGGACTTTTTATAGTATTTCTTGTAAGAAAGTTTCAGTAGAGAAAAATCTTGCGTTTATTTTATTTACTCTGTGAATGATTTTCCTTTCATTTTTAATCTTCTCTCTTTGTTTCTCTACCCCACGTATTTGAGACCCTTTGACCTCCATGGATTCCGTGTCCACGTCTTCAATTTAATAATAGTGTCGAGCTTCAGCTGAATTCTTCTTTGTCATGACCTATAAACGCTGTGATGTCATTAAGCTTCAACATTTATAGTTCTCATCTCTGTTTCTTTTCTGCCTCTTAAGGATATTTGCTTGAGACTCACTGTCTTAAACAAAATGGTTTAATAAATTTGGTCCAGTTTTTCAGTTGTTTTGTGGGAGAAGTTAAATCTATGTCCTAATACTCTGTCTTAGAAAAACATAAGTATAAATAGCCCATGGAAAGTGTTAAATGCTCTTGGTTGATTCAGCACATCCTGTGTATGTGTGTATGTTGGCAGAGTTGTGTGAGGCCCATATCGAGGAGGGAAGAAACCATTCTGGTAACCTCTTAATCTGTAGTCGAATATACCACAAGTCAATTCACTGGTCAAAATTGCCACATTCATTATTACAAGGGTAATATCCCTAATCTTAGAAGAATAGTGAAGATAACTCACTTGATTAAACAGAGTAGAAGCTATACACTCACCTAGAACTCTAGGCTAGCGAAATTATCATGCCATAAATGTGAACATATTCGAAAATTCTCTTATTTTAATTCATAACATGACTTTGTCTTTTTCTCAGGGAGAAGTTGTTGAAGTTACCTTTGTAGGTGCCAATCCCAAGAACTCAGCAGAAAACCAGGTAAACATCCATGATCGTTTTGAAAATTTAAATGCATAGTTAACCTTTAATTTATTGGACTATTCCTCTAAAGGTTAACAACATCAAGTTAAAATATGACACACATCTTTTCCCTTTTGTAAGTGTAGGAAACTTTCCAATGGTGTAGTTAAAATGGAAATCAGTCTGGAAAAAAGTTCACAGGGGACATTCATTGTTCTATTTGAGTACAATCCCATTTATATATTCAAATGTGAGAGTCTACTCACATTAGAAAGTAATTCAAGGGCCAACCTGGTAGAATGTTCCTTTCACTCCTTCCTCTCTTTTCTCATCACTCACCCTTTCCCATATTGAGGACTTTGATCATGTCTCTGACTTTGTGGAAAGGTCACGGATACCCTGGGATTCTGTGTGTCCCAGGAGCATTTCCTGCACAGAGCATTTCCCTAGGCTTTGCTGCTGTACGAATATATGACATTGATTGATTGATTGATTTATTGATTGGGTCTTAGAAAATGGTACAAGAAATACATACTTCATGTAAAAAAATGCATATAATCATCCAGTTCCCTGTCAACCTGCTTTCAAGAGGATATTGCTATAAATAATTGTTACATATCATTCCAGACTTTTTTTTGTTTTTCTTATCCACACAGTATAAATGATCCTGTTTTAAGTAACTCATGACTAACTCATTGCCATGAGGTCAGAATGATTCCATGACTCATTGCTGACCATGCAGCAGTTTCCAGGAGGCTGTAAATTGTACAACCATCTTTCTTCTGTAGAGACATAGGTGGATTTAAACTGCCAGAGAGGTGCTACCTTTGGATTAATAGTGCCAGTTTCCATTGACAAGGCTACTACAACTCCTTAAAGTCTATTTCAAAGCACTATATTAAAAAAGAATTTGCTTTTCTATAATATGGCACCCTTATGGCCTTGTTATTATATACCAGAGAGTGGAACAAACTCATAGTTGATACGCCAGTGGGTTTTCAGGGTAGTAAATTGGAGATTTACAGAGGAGACTGCCCAGCCTTCTTCAGTGGAGTAGCTGGTGGATTTGAACCACATACCTTTGAATTGCAGCACACCTTCCGGTGGTCTACTGGTAAAGAATTGCTCTGCCAACCCAAAGGCATATGATTAAAATCTACTAGCTGCTTTATGGGGAAACGGTGGGCAATCTCCTCGCATGCAATTAACTGAAAATCTGCTAGAGGGTGAGCTAAAGGTCAGAAAGTATTTGATGATATACAACAAGAAGAAAACTTTTAAGGAAGCTTTTGGTAACTAAACAAACAATACATGGATCTTACAGTTGTAAAAATAAAAATGAAATATGTACAAAGCAAAAAGTAAATGAGCCTTTAATTTCAAAGTCAGGTTGTTCTGTGCCTGAAGAGGCATTTACTCTACTGATGAGCCATTCTTCTCCTCTCCTACAGTAGCCAAAGTACCTTTCTGAACATCCCCAGTTTTGCTTGTTAAAATATCATTATTGCCATAATATAAACTCTGTCAATATTATACTGTCATATATGACATCGTGGGAAAAGGTTCCACTGCTTAGGTAGTCAATATGCACCTGCTTGAGCAAATTTATTTTAAAAGTTATGTGAGAATATTATTTACATGTTTATAGTATTATATTTTGAAGAAAACAAAGTGTTATATCAACACTTTATGTTAATTATCATCTAATATCCTTGTGTTGGAAAAACACTGTCATCATAATTGCTATGGAGAAGCAGAAGAACAACATGATTAAAGCATTAGAGTAAGAACATATTTAATTTTTAAGAATGCTCTGGGACTCAGTATATGCAATGAGGGTTGCAGAGTGGATTATATTTGGGGGTAGGGGTGGGGTTTGGGGAGGTGCAGGGGGATTGTGTACCAATGAGGGTGTTTTGCTTTTGCTTTTCAAGGAGAGGAGCAAAGGCTGGGGGGGGAGGGGGAGGGGTTTGTGCGGGGAGAAGGGTGCAACAATGAATGAATGGAATTCCAAAATCTCTGTAGATGTTCATTGAAATGAAAAATAAACAACCTAAATTAAAAAAAATCTCTAGACAATCATATGATCTACTATGCTGGAAATGAAAAAAGTGAGGGAAAATGAGGCTACATTCACAGTAACAAAGGCCATTTCCAGATGCATCTTGAAATACAATGATGTGAGCAACAGGATAATACCTATACAAATACAAGGAATACCTGTCAATACCACCGTCATTCAAATACATCCACCAACAACCAGAGCCAAAGAGGAGGAAACAGACAATTTCTATCAACTTTTGTGGTCAGAATTTGTTTGAACATGTAACCAGGATGCACTAATAATAATAGGTGACTGGAATGCCAAAGTTGGGAATGGAGAAGAAGGATCCGTAGTTGGAAAAGTTGGGCTTAGTGACAGAAACAAGACTGTAGACAAAGTGATAGAATATTACACAGTCAATGATTTAGTCATTGCAAATACCTTTTATAAGAAACATAAATGGCAGCTATATACCTGGCCTTCTCTGATGGTCTGCACAGGAATGTGATTGACGACATCTGTGGAAAGAATTGGAGAAAGTCAATATTAGCTGTGAAAACTAGGCCAGTTGCTGACTGTGAAACAGACAATCAACTACTCATATGCAAGTTCAAACTAAAGCTAAAAATAATGAAATCAAATCTTCAAGAACCAAAATTTGACCTTGATTCTATCCCATCTGAATTAAAAAAACCATCTCAGGAAGAGATCTGAGGCCTTGGACACTAATAAGCTAAGGCCAGATGAGTGGTGGGACAATATAAAGAATATTATCCATGAAGAATGGAAAAGGTCATTACAAAGACAAAGGAAGAACACCAAGATGAATGTTGGAAGAGACTCTGAATATTTCATTAAAGCTGAGGAGCCAAAACAAAGGGAAGAAATCAGGGAGTGAAGGAGCTGAACAGAAGATTTCAGAGGGTTTATTAAAATAAGCAAAAGGTGCTCGCTTCGGCAGCACATATACTAAAATTGGAACGATACAGAGAAGATTAGCATGGCCCCTGCGCAAGGATGACACGCAAATTCGTGAAGCGTTCCATATTATGAAAAAAAAAATAAAATAAAATAAGCAAAAGGTATTATGTTGATAGCAGTGTTATTCACCATTGCAAGAACGTGAAAATAGCCCAAATGGTCAGCCACAATTGAATGGATTGAGAAATTGTGGTACATTCACACAGTGAAATATTATGCAGCACTCAGGAGCAACAATTTAAAAAAGTACTACATAAACTTGGGAGAGACTGGAGAGCATTATGCTGAGTGAACTAACACAGTCTCATAAGGACAAATACTGCATCAGACCATTAGTGTAAAAGAATTGTAGAAGATAACTAGTAAAACATGCATGGGAGCTCAAGGGGGGGAAGGGACTGGGATGGAGGGGGAAGGACGGGTAGGGGCAAACCCACAGGGAAGGGCGGATGGAAATAATGGAAAGACCCCAGTGAAAAGACAGGGTAATTATGGGCACGGTCCAGTTGTGATTAATTTTGTAAAACATAATGCATGAGAATGATTGTATGAATCATAGTATGAATGAAGAATAATGTGAAGCATAATGTATATAAACTTTGTAAGCAAATCAATAAATTTTTTTTTAAAAAGTGTAATAAATGTGCAAAGATCTAGAGTTGGAAAATCAAGAGTTGAACTTGCTCAGCATTTCTTAAGCTAAAGAAACTGAAGAACAAATTCAAGCCCTGAGTTGCAATACTTATTATCAGCAGAATATTGAATGATCCAGGAAACCTCAAAAGAAGATGGAAGGAGTACACAGCGTCACTGTATCAAAAAGAACTGGCTGATGCAGAAGACTTTCATGAAACTACATATGATCAAGAGGCAATGATGATGAAGCAGGAAGTTCAAGCTGCTCTGAAGGAAAAGGAGAGAGAAAAAAAAAAGCCCAAGGAATTGATAGAATACCAGTTGACATAAGAACAAACAAATACAACCCTGGAAGTTCTCACCAGGTTGTGCCAAGAAATCTGCAAGACAACCACCTGGTAACTGACTGAAAGACTTCCATATTTATTCCCATTCCAAAAGTCTAATAGTACATTAACAGAGAATGTCAAGAAATACAAGCTGGGTTTAAATACAAGATGGGTTTAGAAGAGGCCTTGACACTAGGGACATCATTGCCAATGTCAAATGGATCTTGGCCCAAAGCAGAGTAGCAAAGAAATGTCTATCTGTGTTTGACTGCAAAGGCTTTTGACTGTGTGGATCACAACAAATTGTGACTAACCCTGAGGAGAATGGGAATCCCAGAACATCTGATTGTGCTTGCAGGAAACCTATACTTGGACCAGGAGGCAGTCAACAGAACAGAACAAGGAAAGGCTGCATGGTTCAAAACCAGGAAAAGAGTGCATCAGTGATGTGTTCTGTCTTTATACCTTTTCAATCTGTATGAAGGACAGATCATTCGAGAGGTTGGTCTTTATGAGGAGGAATGTGGCATCAAGATTGCAGAAAGAATCAATGACTTGCATTATGCAGATGACACAATCTTACTAGCTGAAACTGAGGAGGGCCTGAAGCATTTGCTGTGGAAAGTTAAGGACTGTAGTCTGCACTATGGATTGAAGCTCAATATCAAGGAAACAAAGATTCTCACCACTGAGCCAACTGGCACATCTTGATAGATGGTGAAGAGACTGAGATGGTTAACAATTTCAGCTTTCTTGGTTTCACAATCAACACTCTTGGTACCAGTTGTTGTTGTTTGTTATTGTTAAGTGCCATAGAGTCTCAGGCGACTCATAGCAACCCTATGAAGGAGAGTCCTCAATGCTTGGGTGTCTCTCATCCTCTCTCCAGGTTCATAGGGTTTCCGGAGGCAAGCTATTACGGAAGTGGAGCCACTCTTCCTTCCAAGCTTGTTTTAATTGGGGAGCTCCACCCACTCTCTGTCCGTATTGGGTAACCAGCCATTAACGCATTTGACATATAAATGTCACAGTGTTGAGCCTCACATCAACCACAAGTTGCCGCCATACGGCAACTTGTACACCAGGGCTATATGACCTAGAGGAATGTATGAACAAAAATAATGAAAGACAGGCCCGAGGGCCGCGGATTAAAAGTCACCCACCTTTGGCTTGGTAGCATCACCTTCTGTCCACTGGGCCAGCTGATCTCTCTCTCTCCATGTTGATGTTATTGTTGGTACCAGCAGTGAGGAAATTAAAAGACAAATTGCATTTGGAAAATCTGCTGCCAGGAAGCTCTCTAGAATGTTGAAGAGCAAGGATGTTAGCCTGGAGACTGAAGTGTGCCTGATCCAGGTCATGAATTTCGCAATTATTTTCTATGCATCAGAGAGTGGATAATGACCAAGATGACAGAAGAATTGATGCCTTTGAGTGATGGTGCTGCAGATGAGTATTGAACATACCACAGACTGCCAATAGAACTAACATATCTGTCTTGGAGAGGGTGAAAGCAAGCTACTCCTTGGAGGCAAGGATTTTGAGATTCCATCTCACATACTTTGGGCATGTAGCCAGTAGGAACCAGTCCTTGAAGAAGGATATTGTGCTTGAAAGGGTCAAGGGACAGCACAGGAGAGGAAGGCCCTGGATGAAATGGATTGACACAATAACTGGGGTAGTGAGGGCAGGTGTGTCAGAGACAGTGAGATTGGCTCAGGATAGAGCAGGGTTCCGACCTATGGTCACTATAAGTCATAATGGACTCGATGACACATAACAAAAACAACAACAGTTCTCTTTATTACTAATAACCCTCACATCATCATTTTCCTCATCAATATTTATTTCTAAAATTTTTAAAATTGGTTTGCAAATAATACACTGTATTTCACTCATGAACATTGTATTTTATACAACCTTTCATTTGCATTGTGTTTCATATAATCGGTAGCATCAGGATGGATGGTGAAGAGATTGAGATTGTTCACAGCTTCAGTTTGCTCGGCTCCACGGTCAACACTCTTGGCACCAGTGGCCAGGAAATCAAAAAATGTATTGCGATGGGAAAGTCTGCTGTTAGGGACCTCTCTAAAGTACTCAAGAGCAACAGTGTCTCTCTGGAGACTAAGGTCCGCCTGATACAGGCCATGGTTTTTGCAATCACTTGTTATGCATCAGAGAGTTGGACAATGACTAGGGAGGATAGAAGGAGAATTCACGCCTTTGAGCTGTGGTGCTGGAGAAGAGTACTGAATGTACCATGGACTGCCAAGAAAACAAATAGATTCATCCTAGAGAGGGTTAACCAGGCTGCTCCTTGGAGGCAAGGATTCTGGGGCTTCGCCTGACATACTTTGGACATGTTGTAAGGAGAGACAGGTGTTTGGAGAGGGACATCATGCTGGGCAGAGTGGAGGGACAGTGCAGGAGGGGAAGACCCTCTATGAGGTGGATTGATTCAGTGACTGGGGTAATCGGGATGGGTGTGTCAGAGGCAATGAGACTGGCACAGGATAGAGCAGGGTTTAGGACTGTTGTACATAGGGTCGCTATGAGTCGCAAACGACTTGACGGCACATAACAACAACAACTAACATTGTATGTTATATAACTACTATTGATCTATGCCTGTTATTACTATTATTACCCTATCTTTTTGAGTCTCCATTAAATCTTTCCTGTTTCTTCACATACACACCCACCAAGTCACTAAACTTGGCTATCCTATTTATTTCTTCCCTTCTCTTTTTTCCTAGCCAAAGTTCATAAAGTTTCCAGAGGCATGTTGTTTAGGAAGTGGATTCTACCCTGCTGATAGATGATAGATAGATAGATAGATAGATAATTAGATAAATAGATATAGAGATGATATATAGATATAGACAGATATACATAGATAGATAGATAGATAGATAGATAGATAGATAGATAGATAGCGATATAGACATGGATAGATAGATATTGATACACTAGTTATCTTTGTATTATTACAGGGCCACTATGAGCCAGAATTAACTCAATGGCAATGTTTTTGGGTTTCATATTAACTAATTATACAGCTGGAGTGATTAAGATGGGGTGGTTGGGAAAGAAGAGTCCTATGTTTTATCATTAATATTCAATTGCCTAGAGCCACACTCCAATCAGTACTCTACTCTTGATACTACTCACTAGGCTTCACCTTGTCTCCTACTTCATCTAAGACCTACTCTATAGTACTTTGTTCAAAATAGGCAGTCATGAAACTATCTGGACAAGTCATTTTTATTATAAAAGCATTACTGAATTTTATCCATCAAATGGACATTTAGAAAGATATTTAAATGATTGTGTGATCCCTTTGTATATAAATAATTCACTTTCACTCACATATATTGCCGTCAAGTCAAAGTTTCCAAGAGTATAAATCACAGAAAAAGACTGCTCCTCTTTTACCCTATGAAGCCGCTAGTGTATCCAAGGATGTTTGGCCATTGGGTTCGCAGCACAGCTCAGTGACAGTTTATTGGAGCACTTGGTAATGTAAGAAATGAAGGGCTGTGAATGAAGGGAATTAGCCACAAATGCAGTCAGTAAGGAAAATCCTAAATCTCCTAAAATTGAAAGGATTTTGAGAGAATTTGGAGTTTTACAGCTTTTGTGTTCTTTCTCCCCATCTATTTCCTGTCTTTGCTTTACTTGAAGGTAAATTCTAGGTTTGGAGCAATACTGTATTTCGATTTTTTAAAAATTTTAATTATTTTATTAGGGAAACAAAATCTTATTATGAGATCTCTGGAAACCTATTATGACAAATTTAGGATTGACATTGTTACCCCAGGAGAGGAATGATGCCTATATTATTTTAATTATACTTTGACATTAATAACTCATTTGCGTGGAGGTAGAAAGTTTAGGCAGTGCTCATTTCCTCTTCAAAATCCTGCAACCTCTTTTCATGTTCATGTTTAATACTCATGTCTCAAGCTACAAATAGGAAAATAAAAACTGTACTTTTGGTCTTTAACAATTAAAATGTTTAGAAATTAGTGCCTATTTATAAAAAAAAAAATCCTGCAATGATGAGGAAAAGTCTTGGAATATAGATCAACAAAGGTATTATTAAAAGTTTCAATATTGCTTTGAGATTATTAACAGCTTCAGTTTGCTTGGCTTCACAATCAACACTCTTGGCACCAGGAAATTAAAAGATGTATTGCAATGAGAAAGTCTACTGTTAGAGACCTCTCCAAAGTACTGAAGAACAACAATTTCACTCTGGAGACTAAGGTGCACCTGATACAGGCCATAGTCTTTGCAAACACTTGCTATTTGTCAGAGAGCTGGACAGTGACTGGGGATGATAGAAGGAGAATTGATGTTGATAGCTTTGAGATGTGGTGCTGGAGAAGAGTATTGAATATACCTTGGACTACTGCTAAGAGAATGAATAGGTTCATCCTGGAGAGGATTAAACTAGGCTGTTCCTTGGAGGCAATGATTCTGAAGCCTTGTCTCATGCACTTTGGACATGTTGCAAGGAGAGACCAGTCCTTGGAGAAGGATGTCATGTTTGGGAGAGTAGAGGGACAGCACAGGAGAGGAAGACCCTCTATGAGATGGATTGATTCAGTGACTGGGGTAAAAGGGGAAGGTGTGTTGGAGAGAGTGAGATTGGCACAAAATAGAGCAGGGATTAGGGCTGTTATATAGGGTCGATATGAGTCACAGGTGACTCGACAGCACATTACAACAACAAATTTATTTTAGCTTTTAATCTTAATTTTATTCTCAGGCTCTTTTCTGTCTTAATTTCCAAAGTTTGCTCTCATCTGTACAGTTATCCTTCATGCAAACTTCTAAGCCTTGGTTTTTAGCAGGCTGGATAAGTTAATAAGTAGAAAGCCATTACATAAAATGTTGAGAACACCTATGAATTTGTGTGAAATCCTAGCACATTTTCATTGGTGGGTTAGTATTTGGTAAGCAAGGAAGGGGAGTGTATGCAGGCAGGTTCCCTCCAGTGACTGTGTCGTGTTTGATCAGTTATATTGATTGTGTTTCAGACTCATAACACGTTCCTCATCGTGGAAGAATATGATCCCACTTCAAATTCATGGAAGGCGATGCATAATGATGCCTCCTGGGACACGCAGTGAGTGTGTTTATTGAATGTTCTGTCTTTCAAGCCTTGAAAACAGTTGGTCAGTGATGCAGAGAAGACAAATGAGAAGAAGACTGACTCAATAGAGGAAATGAATGATAGCAAATTCCCAAGAGCCTTCTGACCACATTGGGCTGATTTATTAGACTTCCTTTTATTCTATTTTTCTACAAAACAGCATGGCATGTGCTTCTATAAAATTTAGAGGCCAAGGAATTTATGGCCTCCGTTCTCACTACACCTCAGTAGTTCATGGCACAAACATTAGCCTGAAAACTGGCTTGACCTCTTACAAATTGTTTGAAAAGGGTGCTAGGTAAAGACATTGAGATGGCTCTTTAGGGCTTGCCATTTCTCTTGGGAAAATAGCCTATGTCTAACATATTACATGTTTATATGGCACCATTAATTATTTGTTTGCATCACTGAAACACAAGGCCTTTGAGTCTTTAACTTTTTTCTTTTTTTAATGGTTTTTTAAATTTTTTAAATTATTATTTTAATAAACATTTACAGACTTTGGATTCATTGTTGCACTTTTCTCCCTGCCCACCCCTCTTCCCTAGTTCACTCTTCTCTTTGAAAAGTAAAAGAAAAATTCTTTCATTGCCTTCTCAAGAAGGATGAGAATTTGCTCATGGAATTTCCTCAGAGAGACAGCTCAGCATTCTTGTTACCAAACTGCTGAACTGAATAAATATTTTGAAGATTTGGCAACTTTAGAGGAAAAAGAAAATATTTCAGCTCTAAATGCCATACCACAGAGCAGGGGACATGGGCATGAGTAAAATGATTTTAACTTGTACCTAATTTAAATTGTCTCAGATTAAGTGACCTTTTGTCTGTTGTTCAGGTCATGTGGTCAACTGAAAATAACAATTTGACTGTGCTGTGGCCTGATAACCATAAATACAGGCATCATTTTTTTTCCCTCTCTAGTTTTTAGTATTCTTGGTGATTATTTTCAAAACAAGTAACAGTGCTTATTTTAACTGAGGATATCAGGTAGTGCAATTGATCTCATTGTATCTCAATGACCTGAAATCCTTGCCATGGTCTACAATGACCAATAAAATTTGACTGTATCTGTTTCTATCATCTCACCCAAAGTTCAAGTTAATCCTTCCTTGTCTCTTTCATCTGGCCACACCAAGTTTCTTTTTGTTTCAAACACTTTAGATTCTTGTTCCTTTTGTTGGCATGTTACTGCTCCAGATCTTTGTGGGCTCTCTGGGGCTCTAGTTTAAAATACTACTTCCTAACATACTTTGGACATGTTGCCAGGAGGGACGGGTCCTTGGAGAGGGACATCATGCTTGGGAGGGTGGAGGGACGGCGCAGGAGGGGTAATCGGGATGGGGGTGTCAGAGGCAGTGAGGTTGGCGCAGGATAGAGCAGGGTTTAGGGCTGTTGTGCATAGGGTCACTATGAGTTGGAAACGATTCGACGGCACATAACAACAACAACAATATGAGTCTGTCTTTCTCATTGCATTTATCACATTCAAATTATTTACTAGTTTATTGATTTTCTGCTCCTCTCCACCACAGAATAACACAAATTCTTTGGAACTTTGAACTATTGATAGTCCTTGGTTTAGGACATGTGTGAGTAATAAGAAACTATGCTTATGGCAAACACACACACACACACACACACACACACACACACACACAATCATTGTTCTTATATACTGTTGAGTTGAAATGGATTCATAGCTGACCATCCAGTGAATTTTCAGAGGCAGTAAATCACATGGGAGGAGATTGCCCATCTTTCTCCTGCAGAGCAGCTGGTGAACATAAACTGCTTGCCTTTGTTGGTTTAGGAGTTGCAGCTCCTTATCACTAAGCCACCAGAGTTCCCATATGTACATCTGTACATGCATGTATGTTTGTATGTGTATATATATAGCTGTTGATGTTGTTGTGTAAAGTTGAGTCAGAACCGACCCATAGCTGACCCTCCAGTGATTTTTGTGTTTTTTTAAATCAGTTTTATTTAAGAATTTCCAACATTAACAACTCTTATAAAAAGCATCCAAGCACAGAACACAGAACTGCAGCAAACAGCATTCTTATGGGTAGCTAACAGACATTAGGACTTCCACTCTTCTTTGAGACACCCTGAGCTCGCTGGTGAACTCTGCTTCCAAGTACTCCTGCAAAGCACAGCACAAGCTCAGTCATGTTCTCAACCCATCAGCTTCAGTTCACTTTATCACACTTACATATCAGTAACAAAAGAGAACACACACCATACAGCGTTCACAGCAGTTGACAAAGAGATGGGGGAAATACAAGTGTCATTTCACTTAACACATTCAACTAATAGAGGTTACCGAAGAACAGATATGGATGTCCTTTGAATGCAAAAACATTCATACATTATTTACTACCATTGCTCTCTGCAAACTCTCTCACCAAAGCCACAAGATTGAGAGACACATCTTGCCAAGTTAAAAAACATCCATTATGCACCACCAAGTCTCTGCACGCACTCTCTCCTTTTTTCTCACTCATACTAGCCTTTCATGCCTTGGCCCACCATCAAGCCCACACAAGGTTTCAAAAGTTCAAACAGCACAGCCTTCTGGTTCCATATCACAGCCTTGCGTTCGTAGCGTTGGTACGACTCCATGAAATAAAGATTAGTGGATAAAAATGGGACACCCACCGTCAAAGACGCAGCCTGTGCAGAGTGATGACGATTTCTTGAATCCTCCAGTGGGTTTTAGGAGGAAGTTAATGGCAGGGAAGGAGATTGCTCATCCTTCTCCCGTAGAGCAGCTGGTGGCTTCAAACCACATCATTTTGGGATTGCAGTGCAGCTTCCTGGTGCTAGGCCACCAGAATGTGTACTGCATGCAATGTTGCAGCACCTAACTTACTGATTCTGAAGTTATCATTCTCAGCTGTTTATGTGCCGTGTTCAATGTAGTGATATATTGTACAAAACATGGCTGTATGATATATGATGAAAATGAAAAAATATATAGAGGAGTATTGGTTTATGATGGAAGTATCAGAACAGTACCTTGTCATAATCTGAGTACTACCTACATATTTATCACATTCTCTCTGATTTTCTGAATGTCTCTAGAATAGAGTCTGGTACATATGCTAGCTCTTTCTCAACATTCATAGATGTATAGATAGAAAAGGAAGTAGCAGTTAAGGCAATGTGTGATAGTGGCTGAAAGGATGCTATCAACTCAGCACATTGCTACTGAGCTCGAACTGACTCACAGCTAACCTTTCAGTGGATTTTCCGGTCCTGTAATTCGCTGGGGTGGGGGTGGGGGGGGAGGAGATTGTCCAGCTTTCTCTTACAGAGCTGGTGGCAGGAGGTACCTCCTTTGAGTAATCAGCTGAATATCAAGCTTTTTGAGATTTAAAAAAAAATTAACCCATTAGAAATGTATAACAAGTACTTTATGCAAATAATTTTTTCTTTAAGTGTCTCTTCTAGAAAGTAGGGGTTTTATTTGCTTTAAATAGACTCAAAATACCTTTCAGTTGTGGTGTTGGTGAAGAATATTGAGTATCCCATGGACTGCCAAAAATCTAAACAAATGTTTCTTTAAGGAAGAACAACTAGAGTGCTCCTTGGATGCAAGGGTGGTGAAATTTTGTCTTAGTTACTTTGGGCCTATATTCGAGAGTAACCAATCCTTAGATATATGGCAATCCTTAGAGGGTTGGCAAAGAGAGGAAGACTCTTAATGATATGAATCAATACAATGAACCTTCACAATGGACTTGAGCATAGTACAGATCATGAGGATGGCACAGGATGGGGCGAGTTTCAAATCTGTTGTTCATAGGGTCACGATGAATTGCGCTCAACTTACTGGCATCTTATAAAAGTGGCACCTTAATCTGTTCATTGCTGTACTCCTAATTGCTCCTTGCTCATATAGGTATTTAATGACTATGAGTTGACTAATTACACATTTTTAAAGAGTAAAATTGGGATGTTTGCTGTCTACCTGCAGGTTCATTTGGCACAAGGGCTTGCTGGGTATTAGCAATGCGACAGTAGCATGGCAAACTGTACCCACTACCAGGCCTGGAATCTACAGAATAAAATACTTGGGACACATGCGAAAACAAGAACTTTTCAAGCCGGTGGAAATACTTCCATTTGAAGGCACTTCTGCTGCTTTTGAAGTTAAGGCTACTTCATGAAGAAACTGCTTTACTCTGCATAAGTTCTAAAACTGATTTCACATGAATGTAAACTGTGAAGCTGACTACTATAATTATCCCTATTTGGGGATTGTCAGATAGTTTACTGGTAATGAGACAGAGTGGTGTGTGTGTGTGTGTGTGTGTGTGTGTGTGTGTGTGTGTGTGTGTGTGAATGAGATTATTTCTCTTACGGCTTCATGAACCTTTTAAAGGATAACCTTTAAAAACCTTCTATGGTAAACCTCCGAAATGTTAGTAAGAATGCCTGAAAATGTGTGAACAATATTGAACCTATTTAAGAGTTATTGAATGCTCGCACTGAATTATAGACTAATTTATTGCTTTATTGAAAGCACATAGAAATCATTTTACAAATGGCAACATTGATGTATTGTGAATTTAATATTAGCATAAGGCTTAGACCTCCCACCACCCCAAGCACATCTTAAAAATAGTATGTGAAAAATTGACCATCACTGCATTAGCTGAAATAGGGAAACCAAAAACTAACAGGTCAATTTTTCCACATTCAAATAAGCATAGCCTTTCCAAGCAATCATCCTGCAGTTGATATGTGTAGTGCAGAGCTATACTGTTGATGCCTAAATCATTTCTGCAATTGCCTTGAGAGCCCGATTACAAGAAAGTCCGACTTGTAATATTTTGATCATGCCTTGTTTTTCCTTAAGTGCCCTTACCCCATCTTGACTGTGACTCTTATTCCCAAGACTTGTTCTAAATGGTTTTCAACTGTTTCCTTCATCAAATTCACTCCCCACCAAAACAAACAAACAAAACCCAACAGGCATTGCTGTTAGTGTAGATTGTAAGATAAAAGAGTTTGTAGCTGGGAAGGTAGAAACAATGCAAAGAGGACATTCCACTCTGTCGTGAATCCTTTCAGTTATAGACTATTTAATAAGATTGACTCACATGCCCGGTGTTGTACTCAGAAGTAGGCGTTGGCAAGCAGTGATGTCATATTTAGGATGAATGTAAGCATCAAAAGATGACTCACTTTAATGAGAAAATGTTCAACTTGATATATAAATTCTGGAAGGCCTTCCAAAGTAATCTTTTATGTAATCTGTGCAAAATGATCTGGGGAGAGGGAAAGAGGCTGCAGACAATTTGGGGGAAATGTTTTGAAACTTAATTTGAGGTGTGGTGAAAAAACCACACCAATGTCCCAAAGAACAAACTGTACAGTAGGACTTGTACTGTCCGGAAGTATGAATGGAATTTTACAATGTTAAACTGAAACCCACAGTTCCCAGGCTATGCAAGTCATTTTCCTCTGTATGTGTGTGTGTCCTCAAAAACTTTATTTAGAATTTTAGGGGGGAAAAGTATATTTTTATTTCAACGATGAGCTTTGATGCTTGAAAAGGATAATGGTAACAAAAATAGTAATCATTTCTGTGTGACTTAACCTCTTAAAGATGCTTCGCTGTACCAGAGTGAATCTAGAATCCTCTTGGGTCATCAGTACAGAGATTGTTTCTATGCAATTTAACTGCTGCAGAGTTAACTAATTAGCATATTTCACCCTTAGTGAAATAACAGTATTGATTGTAAAAGTTCAAGAGCAGGTAACTCTGAAAGTAGTTGATCTCAGACCTGCAAAGTGTGTTAGATGCTATTTTATGGTTGTGAAAGATATTTTCTTATTACCCAGCTGAGTGTGTGAATAATTTCCTGCCATCTCCATTCTCCCACTGAGGACCTCCTCATTTTCTCTAAGGATCGATCAATGATAACGAATTTTCTCTAAGATTCAGTGGTAACTGTGCTAAGACAGGCTTGGTATCATGTGTTTTCTACTCATCCTTATGCACCTGCTACATGGCTACCAGTACTCTTTTGCACCAGATATACCACAGAAACATATTTTATCACTATCTCCCATTTCTTCCAACCCATGTAGTGCTATTTGTACAATTTGCATATAAAAATAAAGCCAGATCTTTGCACTATAGATGCCATAGTTACCTGCCAAGCAGAAAACAAAACAAAAACAACCCAACTACAAACATATGATTTGTTACCATGCAAACACGCAGATCTAAGCCTGTGTCAGTTGTTGGGAGTGGCTTACTGGAGCCAAACCATGTGAAGAAAACTCCTGAAGACTGGTGAGGAATATGGAAGGTAGTGGTTGGATTATTAGGAGAATTCTTTTGGATATCATCTTTCTCATGTTTAAGTATCTGTGTTTCATTTGTTTTTCCTTGCCTACTATTTTGGGAACTTTGCTGGCTTAGTGGTAAGGAGTTGCCTTGCTAACCCAAAGGCATGCTGTTTGAATCCACCAGCAGCTGCTTCATGGGAGAAAGATGGGCAGTCACCGCCTATAAGATTTACTGCCTCTGGAAACCAGTTGGAGGGTCAGCTGTGATCCTTTTCTGACTTGGCAGTATATAATGTAGCATAGCTTTTATTTTTTCCAGAAAAAAATAACAGGTCTGCCATTTATAGGGTCTCTATGAGTCTTAATTGACATTGTGGCACTTAACTTTATTTTAAGGAGGCTCAGACTTCAAAAAGCACTGTCTATATTTTTGCTAAGTATTTCAAAAAGCAATAATACTTAACAGAACATTTAATAGTAATTAACAATTATACTTGGGGAAAGTATTTTTACATGAGAGATACTATTGATAAATGATTTCATTTTCAAAAAATGGAACAAAAGATAGTGATTCCACATAAATCAAGTGGAACAGTGATGGAAATAGCCTGGCTGTAAACCTGAGGGGATCATGTCCTCACTACTTATTCCCAACCCTCTGCACACCTGCGGCACTCAAAGTAGCTTATGTGATTGGCATTCTTTTTTAAAAACTTTTTTATTAATGATTTTTTAATGTAACATGTCTATTTTTTTTACAGCATATTCTTTCTATTTCATTTTCCCCATTCATCCATTGTTGCACATTTCCTCCCTGCCCACCCCTTCCCCCAGTTCATTTTTCTCCTTGAAAAGAAAAAAAAATCCTTCATTATACAATTCCCCCAAGTCCACAGTCCATAGTCCACTTTACTATGTATTTCTTTTTCTGTAATTTTGTCATGAAAATAATACCTAATCCTATATTCCATTCTTTACCAGCAAGGCAACCTAAATGTTGAGTTTCCCAATAACATAGCACTTTGTAAAATGGTGTGTGGAGCCATTTCTGAACAAAGAGGCCAAGAATAAAAGTGAATAATCTTTTCTAATTTACCCTCTGATGCAGTTTCTCCTCCAAGAAAGCAGACAGTCGTCTTCTGATATTAGCTCATGGATTTCATATTTAGCCCAAAGCTTCATCATTAGATGATCCATTTATGCTTCTGAATGATGCTTTTAGTTCTTAGTGGTCTAAGCTGGTTTTCTAATTTCATACTGTCTATGATGTTAGAGAGGAATGTATGCATATGTCCTATACAGTTAAGTAGACTCCATTTTGCTATCAACAGCAGTTGAAATGGGACAGACCTTTGCAATCTTACACAGCATTAAGGTTTGGCATGATAAACTCAGGTTTGGGCAGTACCTCCATATGTTATGAGGGACGTAAGTGCTTTTCTTACCAAGTTGACTTTAAGTCTCAGACCTCCCCTTTGCTTGAATGATGGCTACCTGATGTCTTCATAGCTGCAGGCAGCAGGAAGAGGTCAGCTCTGCTCACCATCTCCCTTGTAAAGACGGAAAATATTTAGGAGTGCAGATCAATTAAAAAAAATTTTACTTGGCCACACAGTCACTTTTAACCACTAGGGAGGCAGAACGAGGGGCTTCTGGACATTTTCTGCCTCTAGAGAGGGAGGCCAGTTTAGATAACAAGAAAAAAGAGATGGCAGGCATGGTTGCTATGCATGTGTCAGTCAAGGTGGATTAGGGAGCTCTGGTGGCCTAGCAGTGGGAAACTGCAGTGCAATCCCAAAGGCATGAGGTTTGAATCCACAAATTGCTCCGTGGGAGAAGGATGGGCAATCTCCTCCTGTGCAGTTTATTGCTGCTGAAAACCTGTTGGTGAGTCAGTGAAGAGTCAGTTCTGACTCAATGGTACATAATAACAAGGTGGGTTAGTTTTTCTGCAACGGTATAGATTTATTTCTTCGTCTCACCGCGTACCCACCCACTGGGGCCCAGTGAAGGAACTGCTCCACATCTTCACTCAGGGACTCGGGCAACGGAAGCCCCCATTCCACTGGAGGGGGCATGTGCTTCCATGACTGGGGTCACTAACCTTGCCTTCATAAATAGATTTGGCTTTAAATCTGTATTTCCATTTCCCTCCTTCAGATTACTCATCTAGAGCATAAATATGCTTGAATGTATTTACCCTTCTCTGCAATAATAAAGCATCCCACCTATAAGCAAAGAAAATGGTATAATCCACAGAGGAAAAACCCTACTTCTTGTAGATTAAAGTGCATATATCTTGGCTATCACCCATCTTTGTGTCTTCATGAGCTGTAACACTGTCTACTGAAATGGAATTGATTAAAAAAGATTTTGCTTCTGCCCATTTTATGTTCCCATGTCTTTGTTTTTTGCTTTTTTATACTTATCATAGGGTGTGAAAACCCTTTGCCGTAAACGATTTTTGACCTTTGATTCTGAGTCCTGACAGTAGGATCACAGCTAAGCCCAGTGACTTGACCACGTGGGTCCCCTAACACCTTAGTGCTGAGCCTCAGGAAGCACATGGTGAGGCCAAAAAAATCCGGGAGGATGGTGACTGACTGGAGGGCGAGAACATGCCCAATTTTGCCGTGCAGGTATGTATATCCTAGGAACTCGGAAATGGCTCAGTTCCTCCTGGACTTCTGTCATTTGAGTCCCCCTCCTCCATTAGAGAGCTCTGGTGGCCTAGTGCTAAGAATCAGCACTGCAATCCTGAGGGCACATTGTTAGAATCCACCAGTTGCTCTGTGGGAGAAGGATGGGCAATCTCTTCCAGGGTGATTGATTACTGCTTCTGAAAACCCAGTGAGGCATCAGCTGT